GTCAAGGAGAAGCAGGTTAGGTAAACTTTTCAGGTGTTTGGAGGTGAATCTTTTCATTTGTGCACAGCCCTTGCTTGACCTAACTATTTCACATCATTACCAATTGCTTTGTTCGTACATATCAAACTTCCTCCTGGTGCTTTATTGGTTTCTGCTCTTGCTGACCTCTTCCAGCAGTTTACTTTCTAACATCCTGAATGCTTCATCATGACTGTTCAGCACACCTCACAGAGGGCTGAGATTAAAAGTTAAAAAAAGAGAAAGAGTGAACACAACAGGAGAGGAAACAGAAGAGCTTTTGGCAGCAGCCTGGTGACACCCTGGGGGGAGTCAAATGGGATGAGTAACCACCCGAAATAATGGCAGAGGGGAAAAAAGAGAGAAGAGACTCAAACAGCAGGGCCTGAGTGAGAGAATTAGTAGGAACATCAAGCTGAGAAGGCCAGGGGAGGGGAGGAAGGCAAAGTCTATCTCTCCATCTCATCTCTCTGTTCCAAAGAGAGACACTAAGCCCTGTTAAAACAGAAAATGGGACCACTTAGTTTACAACACTGAGCACAGATATCTTGTACTCAGTGTCTGCTGCTCTCCTGGACTGAAAGTCTGCTTGGCTCTATGGTATAAAAGAAGTTCCAGGGAAATCTGAAGTGAGGACAGAAAGGGGAGAAGGTGGGAATTTAACAGGGGGAGAGCAGACAGTGTCAGACCCACCTGCAGTGGCTGCAGGGCACTGGTGTAGCACAGCCAACAGCAGTATCCTCCCTCCACAGGTGCTGCAGAGCTGCATTTGTGTCCCCTCCCTGAGCACAAGGCTGCAGGGACACAGGGAAAGGCTGAGAGGACATCAGCCTGGCCAGGGCTCACTCTGGCTGAGCCCAGGACCTTCTGCCTCCTCTACCCTGGCAAATCTCAGCAGGGTTATGTTTAGGCTGCTCAGTACTTGGTGAAGGATAAACATTTCATTTAACACAGGGAGGATGAGATTTGGGAGCCTGGCTCCTTCTGGATAGAGTGACAATGGAAACATTCAGTACTCATGCCAGGAAACATCATAAGATTTATTTAGTGTCAATAAAAGAAAGAAATATTTTGACAAAACCAGAATATTTTACTTGGGTTAATTTTTTTTAATAATTCTCTATTATATGATAGAAAATTAAAATGTAAAGTCAAATATTTTTGTGTGCCCCTCAAAAAGTTGGCATGGGTTCTTTAGCACAGTCAGGATCTTTCTTCTAGTTTTCTTCCAAAAAGAAGCAGTGTCAAAATCAGTTTGATGTTGTGAAATGTTTCAGTGTTGATGGAAGCACCTAACTAATAGTCAGGGTATGTGTGGCTATCTCTGCTGTTAACATTACAGAGAGCCTGACCTCCAGGTGCTCTCCAAGGCTTTCAGCTCAATTTGCAAAACTCAGGCTTTTCTTTAGGTTTACAATACCATGAAGCAACATAAAGTTCAGTGATGATTGGATTAGGTTTTGACAAATATGAAAAAACATTGAGATGTAATGTTAAAGCAGAAGGAACTCCAGGAAAGAGCAACTGGAGGTCTATTTTGTGAACATACTGAATATGTGGCTACAGCTGCAGCATATTCAGACTGCATAAAGTCTCTAACAAAAGACATTATGCAAACTTTGCATTTGAATAAGAAAAAAAAAGAATATCTGACCTGCATTCTTTTCTCATTAAGTATATTTTTTCTGTACACATTCTGGTTCTTTTTTTTTTTTTTAATGCTAATGAAGAATTAAATTGTTACGTCTTCAGACTAATGACTCTTATGAAGATAATTTTAACAATTCCTTCCCAGCCTTTTCAAGTCCAGTTTCATGCTTAGGAGGCACAGAGAGTTTAAGCTTCCATGTCTGCCTTTGGTATTTCTACCAAGTGCAGATTTGTGACATGTGCTGCCATGTCCCAGGGTACATAAAGCTTCACTTTGGTGTCCTTGACATCTTTGGTCCTTTTTGTGGCTATCTCATAATTCATGCAAGTGATGCCATACAACTGTAAGTTTTTCATGAGGTCATAAAACTGATTTATAGAGGTTTTCCCATAATCTCCAAGCAAATTAAAGAAGGTTGATGGAGCTATGCAACTCACTGTTGCCTCAACAATGGTCTCATTCAGGAATGACACTGAACAAGATTGAGGTATTAAGATATCAAGAATGTCCTTAAGAAGCCTTGTCTGTCTGTAAAAAAAAAAGTGATGCCTACAAACCAAGAAGGGCTGTTTCTTCTCTACACGTAGTTGATTTTACCCATGACATCTACCTTAAGATTAGTCAGATAGTTTCTTACTTCACTTTCTGCTTTCAAATGGAAAACTCTGATTAATCTAATGCAGGTCAGCACTTACAGAAATAATTTGAGATTAATCTCCTTTCCCTTCTGAGATATTTGAAGTTTTAGATTATCCATTTTACAAACAGTGTTTTATTTTGCTTTTAAGCTTTTAAAATTATTTTATAATGAGGGAAATATTCCAATAAGGAAAAATTCTAATTCCAAAAATTCCAATAAAGGAAAATATATTTATATATACCTGTATATATTTGCATATATATATATATATATATACAAACCAGATATATCAAAGTATATATTTGTATATCTAAAACTGTTGGTGTTTCACATATATAGATATTAAACTATTTAAAATGCACATATATAAAAACTAAACCCAAACCTCAAACTCTATTTCCAAACTGTTAAAAGTGGACATTTCAGAATTGTGGGAACTTTATTCTTCCGTCTTTATTTCTGAAGCTGTTTGTGAAGCGCTTGCATTTTGACAGAACTATATAGTCCAAGAAAATGAGCTTTCACTAAACTGCCTCCAACTTCAATATATGCCCTGTGTCAAACTCAGAGAGAGCTTCCAACCTCTGTGTCTGGGGCCAAGTGCCAATTACACTGCACCCAATGGCCTATAACTGTCTTTTTTGCTTCTGTGAATATCACTTTTCTAGTTAAAATCTTCAGGACAGCTTGCAAACTGTTTGCTACTATTGCTCGGGAGTTAAAAGTAACCTTGAAAACATTTCTCCATGGTAGTAATCGAGGTGATTCTTCCATCCCTTCTCAAAAATGGCAGTATATCATGCCTATCTTTCCTCCTCAAACTCTGCCCAGCAGGCTTCTGAAGACCTTTTTAAGGTGGGTGTTATCCTTTTTATTTTCTTCTTATTTGAATATTTCATCTCAAACTTCTGAGGGAGATTACTATCTTCCAAGTGTGTGAAACCAGCCAGGAGTGTTTTATATGTACATTGTAAAGCATTTGATGTAATCTGTACCGTGATTATACATAAATAAGTAAAGAAAATCTTTTTAAAATTACCTTTGTATGGGAATGAGTGGGATGATCCCTTTACCAAAGAGATCATACAAACTAAGAGAGTTCTAAAGGTGAGAAATTCAGGCCCTTTAAAGAGTATTTGAAATAAAACCCAGGAAGCATAGACATTATAAGTATTAGTTTTATTACTAGAATGAAGAAATAATTGTTAAAATTATTTCCTGAGTGATTTAAAAGTGCTAATAGAAGTATTTAGCCATATTCTGATCACACAGTTTTATAAATTGGAAGTAACTTAATGATATGAGTTCATTAAAAGGGAGATGGCATCAACCTTGCCAAATTCAGGCATCATACAAAGAGATGAAAGAATTTCAATAGAAGACAGACACAGAACTATGGTTCAAGTCAATACTGCCTTATGGCCAGTGCATTGCAACAGGCTGTAAAAGAAAGTAATGAAATCATTAGATACTGTGTCCTTGCATTCTATTTTCTATTTACATGATAATAAACCGTTATTAATATCATCATCCTTGTTATTGTTCTAGTATTGTGAATTCTTGTAGTTTTCTCATTATATTCCTTAAAGCCTCAGATGCTGAAATCAGGTGATCACCTAGTAAATTTCCAATTTTTTTTTATTTAAATGTAATATCCTAGCTTTCCTAGTTGTGGAAAGAAGTTCAAAAGCACATTTTGAGTGCAACTCAAATCACTTAATTTTATGTAGCTACATCAGATGAGTCAAAGCACAAAATTTATAAAATCCAGGCAGTGTGTGAAGCACAGAAGCTGCCCTAAAGGTCCCAGCATTTAAATTAAACTAACTCTGTTGTCACCAGTGCCAGTAATTACAATAAGCCTGGCATTTCTTGTTACCCTGTGAAATTACCTGCAAGGCCTTTTCATATTGTCTCCATGCTGTTGTTTTCATGCTCAGCAGAGCATTAAGAGTCAATGATGGGCAGCTCTTGTGTTTGACTGCGAATCGTGGGGCATTTTGCTTTGGACTCTATAGAAAATCCTCAAGGTGTTTATTGACAAATGCTTCCTACGGGCCGCTGTAATAGAGAATTCTCCTCTCTGCCTGCTCCCCAGTTCCTACAAGGCCAATCTGCTCCACATCTAGGCATGCTGTTGCAAAAAATATATTTTTTTCAGTAGCCTCTGTAATGTGCCTTCAAGAGGAGCTATGGATCAAGCGTGCTCCAGACCAAAGGCACTCAGTCCTCCAGCTCGGAGCTGTGTGCTGCCATTTCCCCTCCATTTGTTTCTATGGAGCTGACTGTGTGTGCGGTCATCCATAAGGGTGCTGAGATACCCTGGAGAGAGGAGGAATAGCTGCAGCTATTTTTCATTATTATATACTTCACTTTGTAATAAATGAGATCCATAGCATGTGAACGCCGCTCTTGTAGATCATCGTATCAGCAAGCACGAGGAACCTTGTGTGCCACAAAGCTAAATAAAATAAAGTAAGTAATCCCAAGAAAAATAGGCTGGGGAGAGACCACTGAGTGTTCAGGAGTGCACAGTGCATCCTGTCAGCCTGAGAATGACCTCAGGACTTGCAGCAGCTAGAGAATGGGCACTTTTAAATCTAAAGCTGTGGTCTACATGCTTGTCTCATCTCAATCTCTATCCATACACAGTGCAGAAATGTACAGACTTGCACTTCCATTGCCTTGCAGGTGTCTTTGGGACAACAGGGACCACCAAACAACTTGTGACCCAAAAAGGAAATAGCAGCAGCACCAGCAACTGGGCTCTTCTCCAAAGCTTGTGATAATGGTGAGTGTTGAGTGTCTCTATAAAGTAGGGCAGATCAGGTGTGGAATTTTCAGACCAAGTTCATGCCAAGTCTAGTTTTGTACAGTCCCCATGGTCTTGCAGGTAGGGCAGGTATTTGTCTGCAGTGCAACATGGCAGATCTGGATGGTCCTGCTAAGAGTCCAAAGTGAGTTTCTCACTTGTTGACATTTTGACCAATAACCCAAAGATGTGAGCTACTGAATACCTAGTCAGTGCTAAAAAATTATGGATATCTATTTCCTGAGCAGCAGTTATAACTCAGGAGAGGAATTTTTGTGTTATTTCCATAGGCCAGTGATGTTTTGGTACCTTCTGCATTTGCAAAATGATCTGTTTATTGGGAGGCATAAGGAACTAGTCCTAAAGCTGGGTTTGGTGTACACAAGTGTTAGCAGGAGGCTCCAAAATACCAAAACTTAGTTCTGGAAAACCACATTCAGAATCATAAAAAGAGTGAAAGAATAGAGATAGGATAAAATGTAGCTCTTTTCTGGAGGTGAGGATTCTACCTTACAGTTTATTTGGCATCATAACACTTGTAAGTAAAAGCACAAACAAAAATTTACATACGCACATACAAACAGAATTCTCCTGCTGTTCTAAAACACAGTGGTTTTCTTCACTGTTTGCCTTGGATGTGAGTTGAGAGGATTCTGGTTTGGTTAAACTTTCTGCCTCTCAGATAAAAAACAGCAGCAATTTTCTGCTTGAATTTCTCTGTGACTAAATCCATTGATCATCCTTTCTCTCAGTGAGTGAGGAGTGTGTTTTCTCTTTAATAACTACTATCCTTCTCCCTGAATATTTTTTTCTCTCCCCTTCACTTGTTTGTGTTGTGTTGGTCAGTCCACTGCACTATTCCTCTGAGAGACAGAGAGAGCGCAAAATTGAAGTTATTTTATGCTTGGTCTCCCTCGGTCCCAATTTTCAAATCTTCATGTCAATTTTCACACATCAGTGTCATATGGCGAATGCTATGGAAATTTCAGTGGGGTCCTTGGGAGACAATTTATACATGACCCCCTATTCCCTCCCCCAACCAGGCTGCAGACCCTGCCTTTACAAAGAATAAGTGGATTTATAATTAATGTGGATTTTAAAATATGAGTACATTTGGAAATTTTTCTATTTGTTTGCCTCTGTTGCAGTACTAGTTCAAAGGAATACAAGCTCTCTCTCTTTCTCCTTTCCAACCCTAATAAATTGGCCAAGTTAAATTAATATAAAATTACCTCATGTTGAAGTTAAAGGTCAACTCATTATTAACTTTACTTGTTTCCCTAAAAGTTATGCTGATGATGGTTTATCAATCAGCTAATTTTGTAATCACCAGTTAGCAAATGCACTCACTGCCACCTGCTTAGGTGAGCAAGGTTAGGAGGAATTGGAATATGGTGAGCTTGGATGGGCAATTATATCTTCTTTTTAACTAATGAATGTACATGATCTTAAGAGTCCTTGGTGAGTAAAATCCTAGGAGAAGATACAAAGGCTCAGCTGACACCAGCAGAGCATTTCAATCACTGACCTTAAAATGGGCCCACGACATCAGGAAGGGGTAGAGTCACCTGCTGCATTTTACAGTGTTAATTGTCCTTTCTGTGGGCAATAAAGGGATGACAAGTTTTCCAGGTTACATCTCAAAACATCTTAAAACTTAAGCCATTGTGGGGAGACCTAAACTGCACCCAATCCCCACTCTTTAGATTTTGCTTAAAGATCGTACCAAGGCATCACATGTACCTGGTTTTCTGCATCACCCATCAGCAGCACCTTGAGAAAGATTTTCTAACGTCATCAGCCGTTAAGTTATGGATAGTTTGTTTTAGTTTGTTCTTTTTTTCTTTGACAAAAACCAGCAAATAGTAATGGGAAAACCTAATGCCTGACTTTGAAAGAGCTCCATCTTCCATTCTTTGTGGACACTCAGCACCACTTGCAGGTTCCCTGCTCTACCAAAAATAATTTTTTTATCCTTCAATCTCTTACCTATCCTTCACCTCATCTTTGTCTGATTTTTTTTTCAATTTTGAAAACTATCTTAGGAATTGTAGTGGTAGTAAAATGGTTGAGGGAGTTTTTGTTTTTTAAAACTCTAGGGATCAGGTTTGGGCTCTGCAATGCAACATCTCATCCAGGAGATGTAGAAATCAGCATCACATCATCCTCCAGTTTATTTAAGTTGCTTCAAAGCCAGCTGCAATGTGTACAACAGCACACTGAAACCCTCCATGCTGCCTTCCCTGGTGATTTTGTGTGCAACCTCTGGATGAGATAGTTTCATTGGAATTGTTGTCCTCCTCCAATGTGGCCAGAGGGAAATGAACTGGATGAGCATTCTGCTGTGCCACACGGGGACCAGCCAATGCACTCCACGTGTGTGCAGGTAAGAACAAACTGTGGTTTGAAGTAACATGACCCTCGGAAGGGCTGCAGAAAATATATTTGTTTGGCACACTGCCATTTTCCTGCTGGCTGCAATCTTATCACCTCTCCCAGTCTAGGTCAAGGAAACCCCTGCAGAATAATTCAAGAAGGGGAAAAGAGCATCTCTAGGTCCTGGGGCTGCCTAATCCCTTAAGGTGCTGTTGTCTCTGGAGGCACTACTCAGGCAAAATCAGAGTTCCTCTGGGAGGCTGAGGGCTTGCAGGGATGGGCTTATGTAAAGCTGAAGCTGCAGGAAATGTTCACTGTGAACCATGTGAAGATCTCAGTTTTTGCCTTGCTGGAGAAATTAATCTTGGAACAGTGACCAAGATTGCCCCAGTTTATCCAGGACATGCCCATAGCACTTCTCTAACAAGTCTTATGGTGGTAGATAAGGTGCAAACTCTGGGACAACTTTGCACCACACAGTCACAGGACCATCAGTTGAGAGCTGCAAACCTACTGCTCTCACCAGCTCCACTGAAAATCAGAATTGTCTGTATCTAGGGTTAAATGAGGCATTTTCACTGCTAGAACAGCCTGCCTTACGCTGATGTAGCTGGCAGAAGGATAGAGCCCTCAGCTATATTGTATATATTCCTGTAAAGACAGGGGTAATCCACCAAATTGAGGAAATAGCACATAACTCAGGGAGTGAGCACGTGCCTCTGTGTGTGTGCGTGCACCTGGGTGTGTGAGAGACAGAGGGAGAGATGAGATATATGGGGAAATACATGAGAGATGAGACTGGAGAGATAATTTCCAGAAAATACAGCAACCATCAGAAACTCTGTCTTTCCAGCTGGAGGGTTTTGCAGTGCTGGTGCTTCTCTCTTAACTTGACAGCTCCACTCTTAGCCCAGCTCGTAGTTGCTGCCTATAAATTTAATTAGAATGGGGGTAGGGGAGGAACAAGCCTGCACGGCACTTGGCACAGCGCTGAAAATAACCAGCTTTAATACCTTTGACATTGAAGCACCTGCTAAGGGCACAGGCTGCTGTACAGCTGACTGACCCTGCTCTGGTGACAGGATGTGTCACTTTGCTTGTCCTCAAAACGTGCAGCCCACCCCATAACCCAGGGGAGGCGTGCATGGCTCTGGGGCTGGGCATCTCCCCGAGCACCATGAGGCAGCATTGCATACTGGAGGCTCCAGGGAGGGACACCAAGCACCCCTGGCCATGTGGAAAAGGAGCTGCTCAGGCACTGCAGCGTGCCTCGTGTATTTCATTTTTTTCTCTCTCTGATGTAGTGGGCTATTTTCTGTGTTTGCAACTAAGTGCTGCACTGCAGCCAGCCGTGAACATTTCTGTTGGCCCAGCTGGCCTCTTGTTTTAATGCTGTTCTCAGGGCTCTCCCTGGGTAGAGCGGGGAAGTAAACAGATTGGAACTTTGCCCACACATATATATTTAATTGTGAGCTGATTTTGTGCTAGGGAAATGTAATAGACCCATCACTTCAGGCAGACAACTCCCAGCTGAGGCAACAGGTTAGAGATTTCCCCCACTTCTGAAGCTTCCTGAGATGTAGCAGGTCTCATGGATATAGGGACTCCTTGACAGAGATTGAACCTTTTATAATCTTTCTGATAAGCTCTAGGCAGTGTGGAGGCAATTTAGGGATTTGAGGGATATTTGACCTCTTTCCTATGCATGCTGTGGGGATCTGCTTGTGATCATGGCTTTGGGTCACGTTTGAAGATGTCCCAGCTGAGAAAAGGAAGTCCCTGAGCTCCTCTCACAGAGTCCATCAGTGACACAGTGTCAGGATGCAAATGAAACCTGGACCACATCTGACCCTTTTGCCACCATTAAGTGGCACTGATGCTGCTGCTAGAAACACTTTTCTAATGTATAATTTGATTTTTTAAAAATTGTGTTTGAACCTAACCTAATTTTACCTCAATTCAAGTTTGCCAAATTCAAATCAAGATCAGAATGAATTCCCCTTGAAATCTGAGGATATTTTCATATCCTCCAGGGAAGGACTCAGTGGACCTGAACTTAATTTGAGGAAAAAAAGGCTTCAAGTGTCTTGACATCATCTTCACCGAATCATGGAATAGGCTGGGTTGGAAGGGATGCTTAAGATCATCTGGTCCATGAGCAGACAGACAATGAGCAGAGGGACATCTCACACTAGACCAGGTTGCTCAAAGCCCTTCAGATCTGACCTTGAATATTCATCACCCTCTTTCTTTTTAGGGTTTCTCTGCCATGCACCACCCTGCCTGGCTGTATTGCTCTGTTCCAAAGCCCTGGAAGCAGCTGCATTTGCTCAGACCTGAGGATGAAGCAGCACAGGCAGCTTCTGAGCAGGGCACCACGCCAGGCAGAGGGGTGCACGCAGCCTTTGCATACACACACAAGACCTGAGAGGGCAAGACAAAATCCATTTTAAATATGCAATCGAGTCGTGCAATTTTCAGCCTATTCAGGCTTAGCAAATGCCTTTGAGGGATCAGACTACCAAGCACCACAAGCACAGTTGTGACTATGCACCAGTCTGTAATGCAACAGCTCTGATGTGAAGTTATTACCGCAGGCACAGTGTTGATACCTGTGTTAAGCCTCTGAGCATTGCCCAGTGTGAACTATGTGTTTCCACAAGACTGAGCAGACCCAGACAGAGCTGATTGCTCTTGCAGTTAATAAAAAGCACTGCACTTTCTCTCTTGACAATCCCGACACCTGAGTGCTTCCTACGTATGACAGTTAGCACATTCTGGTTGCTCAGTGGCCTGTGAGAAATGAGCCTCTTCTCAATTTAGTTCCTATCATCAGACAAGCAGTACACACAATAAAAAACACACCTTGACAGTCAGCCCCCAAAGTAGCCCTGGGGACTGCAGGTCCAAACTTCCCTTTCTCTCATACGCAAAGCCATAAACCAGACGGAATTTATCGGGCTGGGCTTCCTTCAGGTAAATCAAGGTAACTCCACCAAGGTCAAAGGAGTCACTCTGGTCAGTGCAGAATAGCCTGGAGGAGGGCAACCTCTGCTGACTCCACCACGTTTCTTCTCTAGATGGGGCTTGTCCAGCCCCCCTGACTTGCACTGGTGGCAATGGTTTGCCACAAGGTCCCCTCAATCAGAACAAGGTGAAAGCCCTGCCTCACCCATGAGCCGAGCACTTGGAACTGACCTTCTCACAGCAAAGAGCACCAGCATGGGTATGATGTCCTTTTTTTTTTCCAGGAGGGCGGGGAAGGCACAGGGCAAGGGGGCTGGAGGGCTGGACCAGCAGCAGGATGGTGGCTGCTGCTCCAGCCAAGCCCAGCTCATCAGGTCATGTCAAACGGAGCTAATATAAATGTCAGTGTGCTGCTTTCAGTTGTGAAATCTGTGTTTGTTGTACTGCAGTTCATTTTCAGTCTTCCAGCTCTATGGATGCTATCAGCTGACATGTCTGGCTGGTATCCTCTGCCAAAAATACACACACTCTCAACATTTCTCAGGAGTTGGGTTTTTTCCCCCTCCCTGTGACATGCTGATGTCAAATTTCTTCCTGGCTCTGTGATACACAAGACTGTCCACACCTACCAGATAATGAGTTTAACATTTCAAGGACAGAAGCTCTCAGTCTCAGTGAGACACAGGGTGGATGTGCAGGCCTGATTTGGGGTATGTGCCAAAGGTGGCAGGGCTCTTTTAAGCTTTATTGGCATGTTCTCTCTTAAGATAATCTAACCCAACAAAAACAGATGTGTACAGCTCAGAGTACCATTGGTATTCTTGTCACAGTTACATACTTTGTTGTTGTTAACAGCAGCTTAAATTCTTCTCCCATTTTTCATTGCTTTTAGAATAAATTCTGTTCTTCTGAGCACCCAGGTCTCAATCTTCTGTTTATGCTGCTCTGGTTGATTCCAGGCTCTTCATCTTCTCCCCACCCTACAATTTTATCTTGGCTTCAAAAATAAAACTTTTATTCTCTTCCATTCTGCTCCCCCACCTTTCTCTTGGCAACCTTATCTGCATTCTGCATATTCAAAGCATCAAGCATCCATGCTCTGACAATGACTCACAAGTCTACTCTGGACTTGTTTCTTTTTGTCTAAAACTGAAACTTCATGCAGTGCCCTTGACTTTTACTCACTTGTGGTGAGCTGTCATCTTAAGCTGACTATGAATTTCCAGTGTCCTCCCTAGCCCCTTTACTTCTCTCTCTTTTTTTTTTTTTAAGTCATGACCTGGAACTCATATTTGTTACTAAGGCTCCAAATGTAAGCAATTTTTTCAACTGGTTCACCTCCCTCTAATTTATTACCTACAGAATGTGTTTATGTCTTTCTGAGTTTCAGTTATAACAGACAGAAAAGATGCTGAATTTATTGGTGCTCCACACTAAAAAAACTCTTACAAAGGTTTAGAATTACTTGGATTTTATCTGTGGAAACATTCTTTATTTTTCTGGACAAATTGAATCACATGTATGTTTTTCTAAATTTCTCTGTAAATGTAATTTCTCCAGCTTATCTGTGTGACCAATGTATGGCTGTTTTGGTTTCCTTCTTGAAGGCAAGATATTTCTTCATGGGAGTCCTTCTGTTTCAACAAATGTAAGTTAATCTTACTTTGAAGACACTCTTCTGCCTCACTTTTTAGCTTGGTCTGATGAGACACTGCTGGTCACAGTCAGGAGAAGGTCAGAGGGGAAACAAGGAGCCAGAATCCTGTCCACCCTCCCAGGCTGGCTGGCTAGGACAGACACACTGTCTCCTTATGGCAGAGAGAATTCTTCTCTTCCCTGGATGCAGCTGCATTTTATGCTGGTGCACATTCTACTGATATTTCTCCTGTTCTTTTACCAGTTCCTCTTCCCTTGGTTTTTGTCCCTGGGACAAGAGCAAGATCTTTTATTTCAACAACACCAAGTTCAGCAGCTCCCAAACCTCAGTGCTGAGGACAGTGAGGTGCCTCATGCAATGCTGGTAATCAATAACATAAATTAGAAAATGGTTATTAAATGGCAGTGGGGGAGGAGAATGGGACAAGAACCAGAAAGGCAGTTCCAAACTATGCATTTGAGACACCCATGCTTTGTTCTTGATAACTGGTGAATCAAATAGGAGTTGGACTTCCATGGTCCTTGTGGGTCCCTTCCCATTAGGGATATTCTACAAATCTATGGTTGTTGCACTGATGTTGGCAGAAATGTGGGGTCACCATGACCAGAATCTGTTCCTCTGGCCAGTGAATGACAGCAGTGCTTTTATTTTGGCAGGCCAGCATCATTCCAGCCACCAGCACAAGGCAAAAACATGCACACACAGAGCATCCTCCTGCCCGTGGCAGCCAGGGCACCCTTCAGACATCCCACCTCACCCGCTGACACAATCCTTCAGCACCCACCAAAATCAAATGCAGCTAATTGGAAGGTGATGACAGCCAGGGGATTGCTGGATTTGCATGCTAATTCCTCTATTTTAGCATCACACAGCCCAAGTACAGGTAAAATGACACTCTGCACTTCATTCCAGAAGTGCACTTAATTCCACTTCATTCCATTTCCTGCCTTCTCCACAGTACACATGAATACACACACACACACACACACACGCATTCACACTTTCTCTCTTGGGCTGTCCTGAAGCCAAAAATCAGCTGGAGATTGCATTACATGTGCTTTCCAAAAGGCTGGCACACAACTTCAAGGGGCAAAATGTTTGGGTTTTTTTTCCTCTTGCTAGGACAGGGCTGCAAAATGCAACTGTAGATGAGTCTTTAGAAATCATCACAGCAACCCAGCTCAGGTGGGGAGAACAGCTCTTTCCACAGGCTGGGTTACAGCTTCCTCATACTTTTTATGCCAGGGCTTAGGATGGATTCCTGGGTGGTATCACATGATACACTGTTGAAGTTTTGTTCGAGTACCCAACCTCCTCCCCTGTTCTACCACTGGCATCTGCCCCTGCTCTAAATCTACCAATTATTTCCTTTAAGTGTCAGCAGCACACCAGACACACTGAGATATAACCTTTCTTCTAGTTGATGCTGTTAAACTATTACTTGAAACTGAAGTTGCAGCTGACAAGTGCTACTTCAGTCACTAATAACTACTTCAGGCGTGCTAGTGGTGTCTTGGCTCTTAATGCTGTGGCTCAGGGCTCAGGGAGTGTCTTTACAGGTCACTTAGAGCCATCCATCTGATCTGAAACAAGATCAGTCAATCTCTCCTCTGGCTCTGTGCCTTGCTTGCCAGGAGGTTCTGTCTCCATGCCCCCAGGGCTGCAGCAGTGGCATATCTGGCATTTCTGGGTGGCTTTAGGGGCTGCCCAGGTTCCAGAAGTTCCCACTTTGGGATGTACCTGTGAGCCAGAAACTGAGTTTTTCTGTTTTCAGCCAAAGAAAAGTGTGGGCTACAATTCCTTGAGGATGAATACAGCCCTTTCAAGGGAGAAAGATCTCCTTTACTTGCCTGCATCAAAATTTACTTTCTATTTTAATATTTTTTCTTTTTTTTAAGCAGGTTCTGTGTTCAACACCTTCCTGAGAAAAACAGGATTTCTGCATGGAAGGAGGATGAATACTCAGACACACACCTGAATTCTGCAACATCAGGTAAGGGATAGCTTTCCTTTCATTTCCCACTCCCCTTTCTTCAGGCTCAACTCCTTCAATCTAATCAAAGCATCTGAAGCATCTCAGACACAGAAGATTCACAGTTTGGCAGAGGTCACAAATATTTCCTTTATATTTTGGCAGGGTTTTGGCTCAGTCTGAGGATGAATTTCAAACAGGGTAATATAAGGCAAGGGCAGATCATCAGGGGCACTGAGCCTTATGCCCTGTTACTGCAGAGAATCCTCTAAGAGATGTTAAACCCAGAATAACCTCCACTTTTCCTTTGCCTCCTGCACAGAAGAAGCTACAATGTTGTATAACAAACTAGGTCTGGTTTTTCAATAGAAAAAAGATATGTCAGGTTTTAAGTCTCCTTGACATGACAACATCTTCATCTAAATCGTGAAGCCATCCTTTGGATAGCCCAGCCTTGGTCTAATGTCTTTTAGAAAATGATGCTCATTTAATTCCTGAAATGTGAAATCTAGGTCTGAGGTCAAGAGCATAGATGTTGTTTAGCTGAAAAATTTAGATCCATCAGACTGTCTGCAAGAGTCTGCAACTTTTCAAACTTTAGATTGCAGCTAGACTCCTACTGCTATATATAGTCTTTTGAAGAGTAGCATCTAAATAAAAATACCCTTGAAGTACAGGGCACTTTTTATGCTCCCACCCTCACAATTTTTTAGGAAACATAAGACTTCTTCAGGGCCACAACTCGTCTGTACAGAACAAATAGCCATACCTCAGCTAAAACTTTATTCCTTTTTCACTCTGTATCCAGCCCTGAATTCTTCCCTCAGGCAGGATTTTGATGGGACTTGATGGGAGAATCCCCTAAGACAGGCAGGGTCAGATCACACAGATGAAGGGACTTGACAATATGGGAGATATGGAAGCACCTCAGCCAGAGCAGGGCAGCTACTTCATGAGAAAATAAAACAAGTTCTTATCTTAGTAATTGTATGGACAAATTAAATCTAGTCCCAAGCAATCAGGACTCACCCCTTCACTGTTACAAGATGACAGACCTCCAGCCAAGCCACATATCCTTTGGTGCTAGAGTGATCAGCTGAATCTCTTGCCAGGCAGCTTTCTAATTCTCATAAGATGTGCTGGTTATGGGCAGGATATTTCTACAAAGGGAAATTTTCATCCTCAATGGGAAACACAGCTGGGCCAAAGGAAATCTTGTGTGGCACCTGTATCTAGAACAGATCACACACACATATGAGCTTCCAGAAGGAAACAGAAACTCCATTCATATGGCAATTGTGTCTTTATATCCTCTCTATGTGTATGAATTTATGGTTGTATGAACAGCCATATCCAGTTATTGAAGTATTTGATGATCCAAAGTGCTCAAGGCCTTCTTATTCCATCTCATTCACCGTTAAAGTTCTGCACAACCTTTTTACTGGCTTTCAGCCTGCCATAAATACAAATGACTTGCCAATAAAAGCTGGTATCTCCCTCTGTCAGGAGGACTATAGCATCATTGTTATTTAAGAGGTGGCAGTTTTGACACAATTCTTATTTAAAATTTGTAAAAGGAGAAAAGATGATGTAATAAATCTGCATGTTCTTCCTAAGCAGCCATTGTAAGTGGATGCTCTTTCCCTTTCCAAAAGCATCAGCCGTTTAATGTTTCCTAAGTTGTTTTTGCATGAATTAGGGCGTTGGAGTGAAGCACTGTCACTTACAAAACCACGCTGTTGTCTCCAGCTAATTTTGCGTTAGTAGCTCTTTTAAACTGCTAAATCTAGTTTTTAGTGTATGATGATTTTGTTTAGAGATGGTGTAAAACAGCTGCTACTTTTCTGATGAGTTGCCTGTTTTCCATTTTATGTCTCTGCAAGATGTTGGGTTTCATCATGGCCCCGTCTGACAGGCAGCTGAGAACAACCTGTAAAAAACCTCCAAAACACAACAGAAAGCAAAAAACCCCAAATCCAGGGGTCCAGCCACCCATACAGGCAAATTTCAGAGTGATCAGTCCTTGTCCCGTTACTAGTACCCTCAGACCATGTCAATTCTACACCAGGATGGTGTAAATGAGGAGAGCAGGGTGATCAGGAAAGCAGGAAAATTGCTGCTCTAAAAGAGAAAGTGAGTGGCCATCCAACACCCCCAGACTGTTTCTGGGGGGCTGGTTCAGATGAGGGTGGCTGAGCTTTTTGTATCCTTGCTGCTCATGCTTCTGCTCCCTGCTCTCTGCCTGGTTATGACCAGAAGGCTGAAATTATGGCTTGGATGAAATTATGGCTTGGGGGGTCTTTCCAAAGTAATTAATCACTCTGCTTTCCTCAGATGCTGCTTGCAGCCATTGCTTCTTGAGTGTCGTTTTGCCACTGAATTGCTTGGGTGCCAGCTCTTCCCAGGATGTGGCTGCTCGTGGCCATCAGGAGAAGGGAGCAAGGGCCAGACTGTTCATGACTTAGTTTCCCCTCGATAACGTTTCAAGGGGCCTCTTTTAAGCAAAATCCATTACCTTTGTGAAAGGTGTTTTGCATTTGGTGCTCACCAGAGGTTTTCATGAGGAAACACTTAGTGGTCACCGTCTAGATACTTTGCTACTGGCTTTCCCAACCAGGCAAACAGCCCTGCTTTATTCAGTGGCAGAAAGCTGAATGGTTGTCTTTGATCTTGCCTTATCCCCTGTATCCTGTGGGCTGGCATTTGTTCCATGTGTTCCAAGCAAGAAAATGACAAAACTCATAAAGGAAGCACTCAGAGAACTTCTCAAAGAGGTGAAGACTAAGATCTTTCCAATAATAACCCACATTCCATAAAAAGATCTTAGATTCTGGATAGACAAATTGGAAGCAGCTTGCCTCCCTGGTTCTTCCTTCCTTTTGCACTTACTCTCCTCCTCAGCACAACTCAGGCTTTTCCAAAAGCAGTGCAGCCCATTGAACAGCGGTGGTCTAAACTGTTATGGAGATCTTAAACTGCTGAATTGTTACAAGCTAAAATTGATTGCAACTAAGCCTGTGAACTGAAGTGCTGGAAACAGCACAGAGAGAAGTGGGGAAAGGGTACAAAAGATCTTGCTTTATTATTTGGGGTTTTTTTCCTCTTTCATAAGATTTCTGAACAATTTGGCCTTGATGAGTTCTGCATCTCTCTCAATTGCCATTGGATTGTTTTCCTGGTATTTTCAACATAAAAGGTATTCTTGGTTTGTCTTCCAATTTGCTGGTTGAAGTGTAATTGGTAAAGAATTCTAAAAGTCTGCTTCAAAGTCAGATCCAGAGGGAAAATCTATGATGTCAGATCCAGAGGGAAAAGTACTATTAAATTTACTCCTCCTCAAGCTAAAAACCTCCCCGTTTTTTAGCTTTCCAAAACTAAAAATCTTCTTAGCTTGTTTTCCTCTACTCTGCCTTGATTTTATTTGCACCCTCATCACGAGAGCATCTGAACACCTCCGAGTAGTACATTAAGCAATGTGACTAACATCTGTCACGTACAGTTTGCTCGCTGTCTCTCAGCATCCTTAAAATGAATTTACTGCTTCTGCAGGATCGATAGTGCTGGAGACAGGCAGTCTCTGTTCAGCCTCAGAGCTGGCACAGTTTGGGTGAGACCCTTGTGATGGTTCCCCCAGGCTGCTGCCCCTTTGTCCCCCGAGTGCCAGCTCAGGCACTGGGGAGCACCCATGGAGGAGCTGCTCTGCACCAAGGTTGTTTCCAGTGGGACAGAAAAGTCCAAGTAATTTGGGGAAATCAGATGAGGCTGTCAGTGTTTCCCTGCTCTCAGTTGCATGCTGAAGGACGTGTGTATGGTCCTGTGTGGAGCCCAGATGGATCCAGCACCACTGATTTTCCAAGGTTTTCTGCCTTCCTCAGGTGGCTTTGCTTATTTTTTAGCATCAGTTACAAGTTAGGGCTATTGATGGACAAGGATGTTGCTGTTTCTCACCATGAAAAACTTGTCTGACAGATTTCTTTGACAGAGACAATGTTCTCAGCCACTGAAATCAGGTCAGTAAATGTCCCTTGCTGAACAGAGCTCTCTCCTCTGGAGCCAGTACCACAAGCAAGATCTAGTCATCCTGGGGCACTGTAATTTCAAGCAATATGTTTTCTTAATGGGCCAAATATGCTTTGCTTAATTTTGCTTTCAGTGCATGGGATTGTTATTGCTCAGTGGCCCCACACAGGTGTTTAAGCAGTTTTGTGGCAGGATTTTCCAGTAGCAGCATGAGGTTTTATTGACTGTTACCTCAAGAGTAACTTCAGAGGAAATGACATCCCCAGCTGGTTGTGATAGATGCATGTGGAGCTGTGGCAGAAAACTCAGGAGCCAGTGACCTCTCTGTCATTGTCTATCATATTTTGGGTAAGAATGCAAAGCAACTGTAAAAGGACACTGCTTTTCATGCAGTGAGAAGAATTAGGAGAGATGAAGTTACTAAATTACTTATTTTCCCTGAAAACTGTCAGCTTGTCAGCTCTGATAATATGAACATACTGAGGATAGGTCAATAAGTAAAATAAGTTCCATATTTTGTGAGGATTCTAGGTTGTGGGGTTTAATTTGGTCTATGAGTGTGGATTAAATGGTAGACTAGAGGACTCTGGTCTCTGTGTGGTGACCCAAAATTATAAATTACACAGCTTTTGACACATAAGAGACATCTGACCCACAACTTGCCCTTGTTTCAGTTCCATAGTAGGTCAAAACTCAGGTGAACACCACTAATTTCTCCTCAGTGCCATCTGCCTGTGCCTTGCCGTCCATAAAAAGCAAACCTGGGTACGTGGCTATTTGGAAACCCAGCAGGCTCCAGCAGGACCCACCCAGGGCATGTTCCAGAGCCTTTTTCTCTGGGTAATATCTGAGACTGTGCTCCACTGTTAGCAGCAATGGAAACAGGAGCTATCTGATCAAGACAGATAAATACATCTATTTCAGAATACATAATCTTACCACATATGTGAAGTAGTTTAATCATTAGCAAGTTGTCAAGCTTTTATTGAATGGAATTAGCC